TGGGGTGGGAGGAGGGGATAGGTGGGAGGAAGAACAGGTTAGGGAGGCAGGGACGAGTTGGACTGGTTTTGGGATGCGGTGGGGGGAGGGGAGATTTTGAAACTTGTGAAATCCACATTGATACCATTGGGCTGCAGGGTTCCCAAGCGGAATATGAGTTGCTGTTCCTGCAACCTTCGGGTGGCATCGTTGTGGCACTGCAGGAGGCCCAGGATGGACATGTCGTCTGAGGAATGGGAGGGGGAGTTGAAATGGTTCGTGACTGGGAGGTGCAGTTGTTTGTTGCGAACCGAGCGTAAGTGATATAAAATAGCTGTTTGTAAGTACGAGGAACTATTTGAATAATGAAACTTTAGGATTAATATTGATCCTTCCCTATATGGGATTGCATTTGCAAGTACAAGCTTTTGTAAGTTGAACGTTTTTAAATCAGGGATCGTTTGTAGACAGTGACTGTAGGAGAAGGGAAGACTACCTCAGTGAAAGGCTGAAAGGTAACCCATACATAACCCATCAGGACTGCACTAGAAATCTTTAATAGGTTGTAGCTTGTAAGATCTTCCTGGTTCAGAGATTGATTATATTGAAGTTTCACCATTCATTAATATTCTTGCACCTTTGTAATGTTGCATTGCTTTGGCTGGATAAGGATTATTTGTGATGTTTAGATAATGCCTTTGATGCAAACTGAACTTCTTTACTTCATGTGAAATAAGATTACAGCTTGACATTGCATGTTACATATTTTGCATTGTTCTTTATCGTACCCATCCTAATCTAAGACTCAAGATTGTGCTTGATAGTTCTAAAGGCATTTCCTATTTCTGCTGTTGTTAAGGGTCGGGGGAAGAGGTGCCCAAAGATAGCTTGGTGTTTTGGTTTGGGTGTGGGGATGTTTGGAAGGAAGAAGTAATGGGATGTGCCTGTAACTTCCACAGTTTGCTCTTTATTTTTGCCTTCACTAATGGGATGATTTGTAGCAAAAGGGTGTCCTCTGTAGCACAGTTCCCAATGCTGCTGTCAAGCTTATTTGGATCCTAATATAGCATTTGTTCTGATTTAGGATATCCTCGAGTGGAAGACTGTGCGCTCATTCTTCTATTGGCGTCTCCGCCGTTTGCTGCTTGAAGAAACGGTAAAACAAGAAATAATAAAAGTCAATCCAGAGCTGAGTGATGGCCATATTCAGTCAATGCTGCGGAGGTGGTTCGTAGAGACAGAGGGAACTGTCAAGGTCAGTGGAGATGAGATGGCACTGCTAATATGAAGGTGTTATCAGCCCAGTCTCTCTAAATTTGACATTTGTTATGGTGGTGATATTTCAGCATTTTGAATCTGTCTTGTGTCCAGTGTGCACATGAAGCACGTACTAGTTCTGTTTCATGGATTTGTATAGAAATCACAACATTGAGACGACAGTAATCTCTGCTTTGATGTTTAACTCAAAACACGCAATAGCCCCAATCCCACATGGCTGCTGTAATCTACCATTTTATCTCCTTTCTCCTTGAAGCATCAATGGAAAAAGTTAAAGTTGGGGAAGGGCTCTGCAGAAGTTATTCAAGTTTCCAGAACAAGTAATAGGACAGAGTAGAGAAATGATCAGGAATTTTACTTCAGGCACAGCAGATAAGGGGACAACTTTGAGAAGGGGGAGGTAGTTAATGCAGGACTGAGGGTGTTGTGCTTAAATGCACACTATACAAAACAAACATTAGCTTGTAGCGCAGTTTGAAATTGGCAGGAGCGATGTTGTGGCTATCACAGAGACATGGCTGCAATGGGATCAGGGCTGGGAACTAAACATCCAAGAGTACACATCCTATTGAAAGGACAGGTACATGGGTATGGGTGCAGGGTTGCCTTGTTAGTAAGAAATTAAATTAATAACAAGAAGTAATATGGAGTAAGAAGGCGTAGAATCTGTGTGGATAGAGTTGAGGAACAGAAAAGGATGAAAAAACATGATGTGAGTTGTGTACAGGCCTCCCAGCAGTGGTCAGGATGTGGGGCAGCAAATAAATCAGGAAATAGAAAAGGCACGTAAGAAATGGACTACACTGTTACAATAATCATGGGGGCCTTCAATATGCAGGTAATCTGGGAAAATTAGGTTGGTAATGAATCTCAAAAAAAGTAATTCATGGAATGTCTATGAGGTGATTTTTCTTTGGAGCAGCTCATGGTAGTGCCCACTAGGATATCAGCAATTCTGGATATAGTGATGTGTAATGAGGCAGACTTGATTAGGGAGCTTAAGTGAAGGAACCCCTAGGAGGCAGTGACTCCAATATGATAGAATTCACCTTGCAGTTTGAGAGGGAAAAGCCAGAATCAGATGTAATGGTATAATAATTGAGGAAAGGTAACTGTAAAGACTTGAGGAAGGAGCTGGCCAGAGTTGGTTGGAAGGGAAGCCTAACAGAGAGGACAATGGAGCAGCAATGGTAGAAGTTTTTCAAGTAATTTGGGAGGTACAGCAGAATTTCATCCTAAGGAAGAAGAAACATACTAAGGGGAGGATAAAGCATCCGTGGCTGACAAGGGAAGTCAGGGACAGCATAAAAGCAAAAGACAATGTGGTGAAGAATAGTGGGAAGCCAGAAGATTGCAAAGCTTTTAAAAAACCAGCACAGGATAACTTAAAAAAAAAACAATCAGGGAGGAGAAGATGAAATGTGAGAGTAAGCTAGCTAGTATAAAAGAAAACTGCAAGTGTCTTTTTTAAGATATCTAAAAGGTAAGAGAGAGGCAAGAGTTGACATTGGATTGCTGAAAAATGAGGCTGGAGAAGTAGCAATGGGGAACAAAGAAATGGCGAAGAAACTGGTTAGATACTTTGCATCAATTTTCACATTGGAAGACGTAAGCAGCATACCAGAACTTCAAGAGAGTCAGGGGGCAGCAGTGAGTGTGGTAGCATCATTAGGGAGAATGTGCTGGGGAAACTGAATGATCTGAAGATGGATAAATCACTCAGACCAGATAGACTACACCCATGAGTTCTGAAGGAGATAGCTGAGAGGTTGTAGAGACATTGGTGGTGATCTTGAAGGAATCATTAGAGGACGGGAAAATGGCAAATGTAGCACCCCTGTTTAAGAAGGGAGGGAGGCAGAACACCGGAAACTATAGGCCAGTTAACCTGATCTCGGGTCATTGATAAGATTTTAGGTCAATTCAGTTTGAGATTGTGAATATTAGGAAGTGCTTGCTAAAATAGGGCTGACTCAGCACATCTTCATCAAGGGGAGGTCATGCCTGACAAAGTTGTTAGAATTCTTTGAGAAGGTAACAAGCAGGTTAGACAAAGGACAGCCATGGACGTGATCTATTTGGATTTCTAGAAGGCCTTTGACAAGGTGTCACACAGGATGACACTAAATTAGATAAGAACCCTTGGTGTCAGGGGCATGGATAGAGGATTGGCTGACAAGCAGAAGGCAGAGATTAGGGATAAAGGGGTCTTTTTCAGGATTGTAGCCAGTGACTCATGGAGTTCCACAGGGGTCTGTGTTCGGACCACAACTATACATGCTATACATTAACATTCTGGATGAAGGAAATAAGGATATTGTTGCTAAGTTTGCAGATGACACAAACGTAGGTGGAGGGACAGGTAGTGCTGAGGAAGCAGGGAGGCTCCAGAAGGACTTGGACATGCTAGACGAGTGGACAGAGAGGTGGCAGATGGAATACAATGTTGGAAACTGTGAGGTTATATACTTTGATAAGAAGAATAGGGGCATAGACTACTTTCTAAATGGGGAAAGGCTTCGAAAATCTAAAGCACAAAAGGACTTGGGAGTCCTAGCTCAGGATTCTCTTAAGATTAGCATACAGGTTCAGTTGGTGGTTAGCAAGTCAAATGCAATGTTAGCATTCATTTCAAGAGGGCTGGAATGGAAGAGCAGAGATGGACAACTGAGGCTGTATAAGGCTGTGGTCAGACCGCATTTGGAATATTGTGAGCAGATTTGGGCCCCATATCCAAGGAAGGATGTGCTGACGTTGGGGGTGGGGGGTCCAGAGTAGGTTTACAAAAATGATCCTGGGGACAAATGACTTGTCATGTGAGGAGCAGTTGAGGACTCTAGGTCTGTACTCAATGAAGGTTAGAAGAATGAGGGAGGATCTGATTGAAACTTACAGAACACTGAGAGGTCCGGATAGAGTGGACGTCGAGAAGATGCTTCCAATAGTAGCAGAGGCTAGGATCCGAGGACACGCCCTGGAGTGAAGGGATGACCCTTTAGAACTGAGGTGAGGAGGAATTTCTTCAGCTAGAGGGCAGTTAATCTGTGGAACTCATTGCCGCAGAGGGCTGAAGAGGCCGTGTCATTGAGTGTATTTAAGACAGAGATAGGTTCTTGATTGGTAAGGGGATGAAGGGTTATGGGGAGAAGGCAGGCAAATAGGGTTGCAAAACATATCAGCAGTGATCAAATGGTGGAGCTGACTCGATGGGCCAAATGACTTAATTCTTCTCCTATATCTTATAGTCTTAACCTGTTTTCTGTTTCAATTACTGGCTCCAGTGATACAATCTACAGCCCACCTTCAAAACCTTCACTCTCTGTCCCTGATAGGAGAGTCCTCTATAACCATTATTCTTTTGAATCTTGACAAACTCCGCTTAACAGAACACTCATTCTTGGTGCCCAAGACTTGGCTGCCACTTCTATTTTCCTCTGAGAGACTATACCTCCAACAGTGCCCTTTCTAAACTAATCCCATCTACTTGCACATGGTCCATAGCCTTCTACTCTCTGCTTGTTGACGTATCTGTCTAAATGCCTTTTAAAATTTGCTATCATTTTTGCTTTTGGCACCTCCCCTGGCAGTGTGTTCGTGGCACCTACTACCCTCTGTGTAAAAAAAAAAAAAAAAAAAACTTGCTTCACATATCTTCTTTAAACTTTTCCCCTCTCACATTAAAGCTGTGCCCCCCAGGAAAGAGACTCCAACTATCCAACCTATTCATGCCTTTCATAATTTTAAATACTTCTATCAGGTCATCCTTCAGCCCCCGACACACTTGTGAAAACAATCCAGATTTGTCCATTCTCTCCAATCTGGTAAATCTCTTCTGTACCCTCTTCAAAGCCACCACATCCTTCCTATAGTACAATGACTAGAACTGCGCACAGTGCTCCAAATGTGGCCTGAACCAACTCTTATACAGTTGCAACATGACTTGCCAACTTTGAATTGCCAAATATTAACTTTTAATATTCAATTAAATGACAGTAATTGTGGAGGGGTGTTTTTCTGACTGAAGTTCTGTGACCAGTGGTGATCCGCTAGGATCAGTGCTGGGACCACTGTTGGTTGTAATAAATATATATAAATGATTTGGATGAAGGCAATTATGCGATATGCCTTCGTTCCCACCTTATCCACTTGTATTGCACTTTCAGGGAGCTATGGACTTGGATGCCAAGATCCCTCTGCATATCAATGCTCCTCAGGGTCTGGCCATTTGCAATATTCTTTCCTCTTGCAGTTGACCTCCCAAAATGCATCACTTCACACTTGTTCAAATTAAACTCTTCCTGCTATTCCTCTGCGCAACTTTCCAGCCAATTAATATCCTACTGCATCCTTTAATATCTGTCCATACTATCCACAACTCCACCAATTTTTGTGTCAACTGCAAACTTACTAATCAGACCACTGACATTTTCATCCAAATCACTTATATACATTACAAACACAGAGGTCCCAGCATTGATTCTAGTGGAGCGCAACTGGTCATAGACCTCCAGTCAGAAAAACATCCCTTCACAACTACACTTAGTAAAATCAATGTAGACAACATCCATTTCGTGAATACCAACGTGAAGTACTCATTAAAGACCTCACCCACTTCCTCTGGCCCCAAACACAAATTCCTTCCTTTTTCTTTGAGTGGACCTGCCCTTTCCCTAGTTACCCTCTTCCTCCCAGTACACATATGAAATGTCTTGGGGTTCTCCTTGATCCTGTTTGCCAATGACATTTCATGACTCCTTCCAGTCCTCGTAATTTTTAAAACGTTTTTTCTGCTTCCTTTATACTCCTCAAGAGTCTTGTTTGATTTCTGTTTTCTATACCTTACATACACTTGCTTTTACTTTTTAACTAAACTTGGAACATCACCTGTCATTCAAGGTTCCCAAATCTTACCATCCTTATCTTTCCCCTCATTGGAACATGCTGGTCCTGAACTCTGGTCAACTAGCTTTTGAAAAACTCTCACATGTCATACAGTTGCTCCCAATCCAATTTTTCCAGTTCCTGCTTGATACTGTTGTAATTAGCCTTCCCCCCAACATGGAATGCTTTGACATGAAGAATGTTTGAGACTGAGATTTTTGCATCATTTAAGATGAAAGTTGACAGATAGTCAATACAAATGATGTTGAGTTAGGAAGTGAGAGTGATTGCTCTAGCGTATAGCTGGCACATGCACAATGGGTTAAACAGCCACGTTTTGTACTGTAAACAAGTGTGCTCATAGGAATGAGCAATAAATAAATTTTGAAAATCAAATTCGATCAATAGATTTATTCAAATAAATGTTCTCATTTTTTTAACACATTCTAGATGTAATGTGTTGTGTATATATATGTAGAAGACAGCAGAGCTTAACCTGCTGCCAATCATCACCACCTCAACAGGATGTGACATTTTAGCTACATGACTTTTCGTCAGTCTAGAAGCAGCAGGTGTAAGACTCAGGAAAGCTAATGTTTTGGGTCTGGACCCTTCTTCTGCATTTCTGAAGAAGGGTCCAGACCCGAAACGTCAGGTTTCCTGCTCCTCTGATGCTGCCTGGCCTGCTATGTTCATCCAGCTCCACACTGTTTTATCTCAGACTCCAGCATCGGCAGTTCCTACTATCCCCCAGGAGTAAGAGTCAGATGTGCTATACATTAGCTTTCCAGTGAATATTATTTGTATATGTATATAGTCTAATCTTTATATAAAGAACTCACATTATTGATTTACCAATCTGTGTCTTATGATTGGTGCATTGACATAGAAGACCTCACTACTAATTGCCTCGTTATGGAATGATTTGAAAAAATGAGTTAACCTGTCTGTAATGGCGTTTTGGGTCCTGTAAAAGGACAATTTATTTAACTTATGGGTTAAGGAGTTGGAAATAGATAAAGCTGGGTTCCCATCTAGGTTGTGCATGTGCATGTGATGAAGTTTGCTTGTAATAAGGTTTTGAAGGATAACTACTACTCCAAATACAGAGATCATAATGGAAACCTGTTTATTGTTTTGATACGGTTAACAATACAAAGGAAATCTGTTTCCTTGAGTTTTGTCCTGAATTTAGTCAGGAAATTTACACAACCAGTTGCTATAATCATACAAAATAGAATAACCGCATCAGTATTATGATCATGTTTCTTCCAAATGCCATTGTCTGTCTGATTTTTATTAGATCTTCTTGCTTGTCTGTGCAGGCGTACCTGTGGGATAACAATCAGAAAGTAGTGGAATGGTTGGAAAAACATCTTAATGATGAGGATGATACTCGCTCTGTAATACGAGAGAACATCAAATATCTGAAACGTGATTATGCAACAAAACACATTCGCAGGTAGGTGCACTTATAAGTGCTAGGATAGCAGCAAAGGTACTTGGTGGTGTAAAGTATCTTTGACTTGAAGGCCGGGTGATAATATTTAAAATAATACAGTGCGTGTGTTTAAAACTGATCCTAATCCTGATTTCTCTGCTGTGTGAGAGTCAAGAAAGAGCAATAGGTTTCCCTCTGGACTTGAATAGCAGTTCCCATTGGTAACCCAATTTATCCCAGGGACAGATAAGGGAGACTGTGAGGTTTTCATAATTGTTATGATTCAGTCACTGAAGATGGAGAATTGCAGTCAGTCCAGCTGCTGCATTCCAATGTTTATGCTCCTATTTTCATCTAAATGCTATCAGCATTACCTATTATTCCTTTCTCCATTTATTTAGTTTTCTCTTAAATTAATCTACAAGTCACCTCAACTAATCCATATGATGGTGAGTTTCACATTCTAACCACTCTCTATGTTAATTAAGTTTCTCCTCAATTCCCTATTCACTTTATTAGCACTTATATTTATGGTCCTATTTTTAAAACTTTCTACAGTGAGACAATATCCTACTCTACCAATTCCTTCCATAATCTTGATCCAATCATGCTCAATTTTTCCAAATACATATAACCTCTCAGCTTTGACATAATCTCTGTAATTTTATATTCATCCTCTCTGATGTAAATAAATCCTTTCTGTAACATGGAAATCAGAACTATTCACAGTCCTTCCAAGTACAGACTGACCAAAGTCCAATACAAGTTTAACATTGTTTCTCTGTTTTTCTGATTCTTTCTGTAGAATAATGAGCCCCCCTTGGCCTGTTTGCTTATTATGGGTTTATTAGTCTTTCTCAGTACAGTGAGATATCCAGCAAATGATGATGAGTTAGGAAGTGAGAGTGATTGCTCTAGTGTATAGCTGGCACATGCACAATGGGTTAAACAGCCACGTCCAAGTAGAAAAGGACAAGGGAAGCTATAGACCCATTAGTCTTAATCAGTTCCATTATTTTACATGGAATGAAAAGTATTAGGAAAAGATTTGAGAATTACCTATACAACAAGAATCCCATAAACATTGTTGGATATTCGAAACAATCTGTGGCAAAGGTTAAAAAGGTAAGCAATAAATACTTCGTAGAGGAAGAACAGTCACTGGACTCAAAATGTTAATTCTGTTTTCCCTCCACTGATGCTGCCAGACCTGCTGAGTTTCTCCAGCAAGTTTTATTTTTGTTTGTTTCAGATCTCCAGCATCTGCAGTTCTTTGTCATATTTTATTTGTTGGAGGAGTTATGCAGATTAAGGAGAATTACTGAAGGAGTGCTCCTGGGCTGTGCTGCTTTAGATAAATGAACTAGATTCAGAAACTCGGTGCAACGTAGTCAAATTTGTAGATGACCCCAAACTGGAAGAAGCAGAAGGCAACTCAAAAATTACAGAATGTATTGGGCAAAAATGCCCAGAGTTTTTTTTAACTGCTACTTTTATAACTGTTAAAATTAGCAATAAAAAGTATCTTTATGATTCCTTCATCTCCCTGGCTCCTAGAAAGGGTTCAGAAAAGATTTGCGAGGATGTTTCTCGGGGTTGGAGGGTTTGAGCTTTAGGGAGAGGCTGAATAGGATGGGGCTTTTTTTCCCCTGAGATGTCAGAGGCTGAGGGGTGACCTTTATAGAGGTTTAAAAAATCTTGAGGAGCATGGACAGGGTGAATAGCCAAGGCCTTTTTTCCGGGGAGGGGATCCCAAAACTAGAGGGCATAAGGTTTAAGGTGAAAAGGAAAAGATGTAAATGGGACCCGAGGGGCAACTTTTTCACGCACGGGGTGGTGTGCGTATGGAATAAGCTGTCAGAGGATGTGGTGGAGGCTGGTACAATTACAATATTTAAAAGGCATCTGGATCACTATATGAATAGGAAGGGTTTAGAGGGATATGGGCCAAATGCTGGAAAATGGGACTAGATTAATTTAGGATATCTGGTTGGCATGGACGAGCTGGACCAAAGGGTCTGTTTCCGTGCTGTTCCTCTCTATGACTAAGTAGAACTGTATATCCAAACTGCTGGAATGTAAAGCAGAGGAAGTGGTGATTAAACTGTATAGTGCTCTGATCAGACTGTACGTTATCACTAAAGCACCAAAGGGACATTCAAGCTTTGAACTCTAGAGCTAGGGTCTGGATTAAGAGGAAAAACTGGAGAGACTTATAGTTTTTAGTTTTTAAAGGGAATTTTTGAAAAAAGATCATTTGGAAGTATTCAAAATAATCAAGGAAGTGGGAAAGGCAGAACTGAATTATTCTTCATTGTAAGAATAAGACAGGTTCATAGTACTAAAGGTAAATTATCTTATGTATCTTATGAGCTCAAAGAGTTCTTCTCTCCATTTTTTCCATTAATGAACAGGTAAGATGAAAAAAGAATTGAGATAATTCAACTAAAACTTAATGTATTAAAGATTTGTTTCTGTTGTTTCTACTTTTAGCTTGGTTCAGGCAAATCCAGAGGTTGCAATGGACTGCATTATCCACATGATGCAACAAATCACCCCAGCCCAACGCACACAGATCACTCATCTCTTGACAACTATGGATGGCCCAGCATCGCCGTGAGTGAATGAAACCCAACAGCATTGACCACTGGATGTTTTACTTTAGGGAGATCTGAATAACATGCACACCTCACCATCATATTAAAAATGCTGAGGAACTGTGCCTTTCTCCAGCATGTGTTGCTGACATGCCAACATGAAGACCCTCAAACAGATAGTAGTAGAAAAACAGTTATTTGTCTTCATCACACCAAGTGCCTAAGCAGTTCTTCCTGGCTCTGTGTATAACAATGCACCAAAGCAGCAGTTTACCTTTGGACAGGATGTTGAAATTTGCTACATGCTGATATTCCAGTGAAATCCAGTCACATATAACCTTCAGGCATGATCCTCCAATTTTCAGCATTGTATGTTAATTCAGCAAGTAGTGCAGGTAATAAGCTACAGAACTTTTTTCCCTACATGTCATCCGAGGACATTAAGTTCTTCACTGAACTTTGCAGGAGCATGCTAATGTCTCTTAGATTTTTCTTCAGATGTCTTTGCCTGGGAAGTGCAATTCACAGATCATGTATCGCACAGAAGTTAAGCCAAAATAATCTTTAAAACACTTATTAAGTACTAATTGTGATGACTGAAATGAAGCTCAGGCAGTCTTGGCTGGTAAACTTTGACCTTATGCAAAAACATTACTACAATGTGTTATATGGTGGGGATCACATACTGTTAATATCTGTATTTCCCAAGAGGCTAATAAGATTGACATTCACAGTACAAGATGAAACCTGTCGCAGTGAATATAATCTTTGTGACTCTCAAATGGTTTCAAAACCATTGATGCATTAAATAATTCTTTAAGAACTTCTGCACTTCTGAACTGCTGCAAATAAAATCAGTTTTGCAGATGAACTAGCTACAGTGACTTCTATCCAAGTGTTATCTGAGGAGCCATGTATAGCCTGGGAGTATTTGTTACGCATCTATCCTTCATTAGACGCCTTCAGTTGTTCAATCCATCTCTGGGCTTTCATTCACCAGTGAGTTGTTAACAAGCTTGAGACTGTTCCACCTTTTCCTTTTCAACAAGGGATTGCTTTTTCACCTTCCTTACGGTAGATGGAATACAACAGGTCCTGCATCACCTTTTGAATCAAGACTAGTAGCTGACAGCTCCCTGTGTGGAGAATCAAAGATGAAACCCATATTCCATCTTTCTGGTGCATTGTATTGCTAAGGTTGACCCTCAAGACATAGCTTAACAAACTGGTGAGTTTAATGCAGACGACATATACCATCCATCAATAATGCCTACTGGTAAGTTATGGAAGTGTTAATTATTGCTGTTTTTTTATTAAAATTCTGTTCTAAAATTTATGTTGACTCATGAATGTATTTGGTGTTATCTTTTTATTTGGGGTCATAGTTGCTTTGTGTTCACTTTTTCTGCAGAGATCTTGGTCAACATAACATCAAGCATCATAAATTGCTAGAATTCATCTGCAATCTTTGCTTTAAAGTAACAACTGATTTCATACAAATTAAAAATTGTGGAGTTATTCATTGTATTATAAAACCTTCAGCCTTAAAAGTCCACACCAATTCAATGTTGCCTGTGAAAGCTATGTTATGCTTCCTTCAACAGGGGATTTGCAGAGACGACTGTTACCGAAGACTTTCTGGGTACCTCCTTGCAGGAGAGGGAGACAATTTTTTTAATGCTTTCTGTTTGAGGACTGGCTTTTTTTCTGCTGCACTGGCCATAGGCAAGCTATGGTCACTTGGTTAGGAACTAACGAAAATGTTGTTGTCAAGCAGTTATCCCTTAGTTCAGAGCCCATTGGCTCCAGGCTCTCGCTGTTCCAGGAAAATACAACATTGTATACAAGTCTCAACATGCTCCAGTGAACATGATTTTTAAAACTGTAGCCATCTTTTTTGCACAATCTCCTTGGTTTAATGCAGTATCCAAAATAAAGGAAATAAAACTGTGTGGTCTTTACAATTATCATCATTTTTGTTTTACTCTAAAGAAAAATATGCTCAGAGGATAAATAGCCATATTTCAGAAATGTGAATATAAGCTGCAATCTAAGTTTGTGTTTGTTTTATAAATAAAGGTTGATGAATAAAATATGTTACATTTAGAGATGTTGGATGCCAGGCATTATTGTATTGAACCATATAATCCAGGCGATTTTAGATTTAATTTTGAAGAATCCAATTTGCTATTCAGTGTCTTATAGAAAAGTACATCTGAGCATAAATTTGGCCTGTCTGAAATGTCCTCCATGGGTAAAAGCATACTGATGCTTAAGTGAGATTGAAGATCAGCCTGCTCCAATTACATAAAAGGAGCTGTGTTATATTGTATTACAACAATGTAAACTTTGCCATTGTGACTGTAAGTATTAAGGGCATTTTGCATTATAGCTGAGTGGAGTGATACCTTAATTTTTAACATTGTGTTCAAATTTTCAGTTTTAGTTGCATATAGTGTTTTTTGATAGTGTTTTTATTTAGTAGCACTTGAAGCAAGCATGAAGGAGTCCAACATGCTAACCACTCAATTTCTCATCCATTCTCAAGAGAAAGTAAATATAGTGCAAATATATTTGGAGTCCTTAAATGTCACTGCAATGTCATGCATGTATAAGTTTTTGACATGTGAAGGAGGTTCATGAAGGATGATTTAAGGGACAGTCCATCAAGGATGATCTGATGAGAATAGGGTTGCCAACTCTGGTTAAATATAGCCCTTAAGGTCTTATTTCTCTGCCTCCAATTGTCCTGTCCCAAGTTCCCATGACACCCAATCCAACCAACCTCTTAGTTCACTGCTTTCCCATACCAATTAGATAGTGAAAGTCATCACTCCCTAACTGGATGATTCTTGACTGCCAGTCAAACAGATATTTTACCCCACCTTCAATATTTTTATAACTGGTAAACAAAAATAAATAAAATGAAAGAAACAAACTCAATATTATTTAATGTCCCTAATGACTTGTCTCCTGGGTTGTTTGCAATAGGGTTCTGGAGTGTCCAGGCCAATGCTGGAAAGTTGACTCTTTTAGACCAAAATATATATAAAATATATATTAAAAGTAGAATAGGAGGAGGTTCATAGGGGCCATAAGAAATGTTAGCATAAACCAGCTAGACTGGAACCTGTTTGAGCTCTAATTCTATTTCTCCTTCACCTCTGAACTTAGTAAATTTTGAAGGCTTGACTAAGCCTGACCAGCATTACAGGATCATCTCTGAATGAAATAGGATACTTGTCAATCAGCCAGGATGTTGTTGCTTGGCACGGATAGCTGTTTAAGACAGTGGATGAGCAATTCTATATCCGCTTTCTCTTTCCATTTACTCAACTCTAACAAGCACTTCACAGCCTCTGAAGTTCAATATTTTACACAACCGTTAGGAGGCTATTTGGAATTTTGACCCTGTTTTGCCTTAAATGCAAAATGCTTTGACAGTAATATGTTAAAGTGCCATATTCTTTCTCAGAAAAGAATCTGAACAGCCTTATGGTTCCTGTTGGTCAATGCTGTTTGAAGTATTAGACTCGCTGCTGTTTGTTGGGGATGGAACCATCCATTTGAAACCACTAAAGAGCAATAATGAAGCTTGGACTGCAGGTCCTCCAGAGAACTCCAGTATAACTTACTTTAAACTGAGTCCAAACTATTTTACTCAAGTGAGCAGAGAATAAACATATTTTATATGTTCCAATTGCATATTTGGAATTTACAAGTGTAAGAGCCAACAAGCAGTTTTGACAGTACTGTTGCCTGACTTCACAATGATCAAATTATTTTAGGTCACTTTGAACACAGATGTATACAAAGTGCAATCATCTTAATCTCTAGTGTAGTCCTAGTATATTGAAGAAAAGAAAACAAGTTTGGATCCTGCTGCTGAGCATTGGCTGGGGCACTAAATAAGTTGCCATCATGTTTATCTTGTTCATATTACAGCCCAGCATCAGGTCACTGCATTATGTTGTGAAAGATCAACAGTACTACCAAGAGAAGGAAAATATAATTGTGGTCTGCCCTCCAATCTATTGACGCCAGCTGAAAAGATACATTACCAGAGCAGTTGGCCTTAATGAAGGTTAAAGGAAGAAGAATAAAGAATATTTAAGTTGCAAATTTAAAGGATTTTATAAGGCTCGTAAGCCCATTGTCCTGTTACAGTAAAACAAAACATCCATCAGGACCATTTCTAAGTTAAATATTTATTCATATACCTAAGACATTTTACATAAAGCATTTCATACTTCCTAGTTAAAATCTGCTGATATATTTGAATCTAAATGAGGGGAAAATATTTTAACAAATATTTCTTTCCCCTCTGAGATAAGTTTGAGATAAATCTCATGATCAGTCAGGTTAGTTAATCAAGTTATGACATTTTTCAAAAAACAGATCTTGTAGTCTTCCACTTGTTGGCCAGTATCGAAATATCTTGAGGTTTATGGCATGTTTTTAGTAAATGTTGATATGGAACAGTTGTAAATCTTTTTATTTCAAGAAATAGTTATTTTCCTCCTTTCAAAAGTACTTAAAAACCATAAAAAAGGGGATCATAAGAATGCCAGCATAAACCACTTAGACCAGATTGAACTCCTATTCTGAGATAACAAGGTGTAGAGCTGGATGAACACAGCAGGCCAAGCAGCATCATAGGAGCAGGAAGGCTGACGTTTCGGGCCTAGACCCTTCATCATCTGCAGTTCCTGCTATCTCTGAACTCCTATTCTATTCGTTCTTCCCCCTCAACTTATTAAAGTTTGAAGGCTCGTATAAATGAATCCTTTTTAATAGTAAAAATAAAGCTCTATCTATTCCAAGCCACATTACACAGATGGAAGTGACTAATATTATGGATATATGTATAAAGAGCATCGGTGGCTTCAGTTTGTATTTTCTTTGTATTTCCTGCAGTCATGTGCAGGGCATTGCTACACTTCATACTTTCTACAGACATGCTTCAAGTCGAATATCCAGGTTCGCAAAGTCTCTACTTTGTGTGCTGGTCTTATTTTTTGTGATAAATGTGATTGTATATAGAAATTATTTTCATTAACAGGAGTGGTCTTTTTCTGAGAAGCTTTCTTCCAAAGTGAACATTGATGTCCCCGTCATTTATCCATGGAAGTGTTAGATCATCCCAATTTATCCTCCAATAGTTTTAATGAGGGATTGTATCTTTCATTTCTTGTGAGTGTCTTGTGAAGATATTTCAGAAAGAGATTCCACATATTTGCAGCATTCATGCTGATTGAAGTTTCCCATGGCAGTCATAATCAAGAGTCTGTCAGAGCCCTGGTGAAAATACATCCAATTTGCCTTCCCCTTAAGGAAATCCACAAGCTGAGCATCCCACTGGTACATTTTATCAGTATCCCCGAATTCTTTAAGGTTGTGGCTCTTGAAATACTGGGCTGAGCCTGGTCCCCACAATCTTCATTAACAGCAGAAAAGTTGTAATCAATGCAGCCAAAGTTGTAAATGACTCACCATTAATGTTTGATGCGTTCATCAATCCATTTAACGTTTGGAAAAATATCCCTTAAATAACCAGCCAACAAGTGGAAATGCTATCTTTAAGAAATATTCTTGTAAACAGTGCTTAATTCATATGAAACAGGTTTCAACTTACCCTTAAAAAATAAATATAAATTAAAATTTACATACAGTAATACTGTCTATCACAACAGCACCAACACATTCCACTGTACTGAGCTATCACAATGCAACAGAACGCTTACAAAGCAAAAGAGTTCACATTTCTAGGATCTACTAAGAATTGTTTAATTTGAGTTTTCAGCCATTAATGATGTTCAATTTTGTGCATTCAAGTTTGTTTCTGTTTTGCATCCATTGCGAGTCCTGGGTAAGCATTTTTTGTCCTCCAAAGTTCATATCTCTTAGTCGACCACAGAATAAACCCTGTCTCTTAAAATTTGTGCCTGTGTTCCCTGTAGGACTTTGTTGCAGTAGACTATCCAATTCAGAAAGCTAAAACACTTTTGGACTACCACTGGATATTTGTCCACTTTCTGAAAATTAAAAGTGATGCGACAATAACCAGTATCCTATTCAATAGAAACATAGAAGATAGGAGCAGGATGAGGCCATTCGGCCCTTTGAGCCTGCTTCAACGTTCTTCACAATCATGGCTGATCGTCCAACTCAACAGCCTAATCCTGCTTTCTCCCCATAACCTTTGATCACATTTGCCCCAAGTGCTATATCTAGTCACCTCTTGAATACATTCAATGTTTTGGCATCAACTACTTCCCGTGGTAATGAATTCCACAGGCTCACCACTCTCTGGATAAAGAAATGTCTCCTCATCTC